CATAGCGCAGTAGTTCGCCCTCGTACAGCAATTTAATGTGGAATTAGCACTAGTGAAGCTCTAGTATTAGTGGGGCTAGCAGTACGCCAGCTGGAGTGCGCAGGCAATCAAGCCGCACTTCAAGGCCGGGCACGCAAGGATTTTTGTTCTGAGGGCTTCTCTTTCGGGTTTAGGGTTTAATTAGGCGGGTCCCTGATTGGGGGCCTCAGAACATGAAGCACTGTCCTGAGATCATTCTTGGTGTGACATCATTCTTAAATCCGACTTGTGATGATGCTTCTGCTTCTCTTGCTTGTACTAGATCTGACAGTCCCGTGTCACACCATTTGTACCTCAGCGAGGGTTTTGGTCCCGTTTCCGGATTACACCGCTGTCAGGCTGGGAAGCGCTACTTGGATTCTTAGTGAGCCGTACCTCGTGAGTTTGGAATGGTACAGTATCATTCTTGTCGCCTTATTCGATGGCCCTTGTCTCCTACAGTAAGGATAGACTCCGTCCCGAGAAAAAGCCCAAATATACGGCCTCGAAGCATTTCCATCTGGGGAGTGAGGGCCCCCGCAGCCCGTGCAGTAGCCCCAGAGGTCGATTCAACTACTCAACAAAAGCTCCCTTTGCAACAAAATTGAAGCTCATACGGGCGCCTCCATCCTTTCGAAGTATCTGGTCTTCCTAGTGGCTAGTAATTAGGGAATAAGGGACTATAATCCCTATGTAATCCCTGTAAAGCATGAACCCCCTGAACCCTAGTTGTTGCCTGAGTCTAGGAGATGATAGATCACTGTTCATGTCAATCTATGCATCTACGCATCTTCCCGTTATGGTTGTAAGTCTTTGGGGTTTCCCACAAATTAGGGGTACCTGTTTTTGGGGGCCCCCATAATACGGATTATAGATGATTATAGTATCTTGGGGTCAAAACTCGGGTATCCCTATTTTGGCAAACTAAAATTTGTTTCCACTTGTGTACCACTACCTCCATTTTGTGCTCAGACAATGGCCGGCACCTACCCCCGCCACGTCTTCCTAGAGGCAGGCGGAGGGTATGGACTGCACCGACTCTGAAATCGTATTAATTACTAAATATACTCGTACCCATTATGGTAATTCAACTTAAGTTCCGCAACAGAAATCCAGATTATGAAGAGTGCTACGAGGAGCCTTTGGCAGCTAGATGAGTTTAGGGTCAGGCGTTGACAAAACAGCTGAAAAAGGATCCAAACTGCTATAGAAGACCTCCTCTCCAGGTTTCTTGTTACAAGGATGCATCTCAGTGTTCCTTTCTCAGGATGGCCCCTGAGCAAGGGTGAGGCAATTTCGGGAGAGGCGTAAGGAGACGCAGTCGGAAACGAGTACGCCAGCGAGTTCTACGCTGACTCTTCGTATCGCGTTGTGAGATTCTTGACGCGCTAGCATCATGAAGAAATCGAGTATGATCTTCGGCACAATCCGCTAACCTGTACCACTCCTGTAGTTACCCAAGTGGCAGATGGTTCAGCAGCATGACCGATTCTGTGTAGGCGCAGCGTAGATTGATAGAGCACCGTTCCAAAATGCTTGTCTCCTATTTGTTTCGCTTTTCCCCCACGCAAGCGAGAAGGTGCTGTGAACTTATTGCAAGTATCACACGCGCTGGGAAAGTTTAAGCCCACGAGCTTGAGGTCAATGCGGATGAGCTGGAGGACGTTGTGACACGGTGTGGAGCAAGGAGCTGAGATACCCTTGAACATTACCCTAAGGTTCCAAGGACCCAAATGATAGAGTTTTAGGGCCTAAATACCATTAGTTTATAGTATTTGGGGCCCTGAAGCCCGATTATTTCGGTCCTTGAACCCCTAGGACCCTTGAATACTGTGGCCACCTACCAAGCATGTTCGATCTGCATGTTGCTTCTCAACTCCCTGGGCTCTTTGGAGGCTTCCATAAATGGGGAGCCCCGACATACCTGTAATCCTTGTTATGCGGACACCCAAAACGGGACCCCTAATCATTTTAAGCCCTAAGCTCTATTGTACTTGCGACATTCTAGATTTGCCTTAGATATTCCTTTGCATGTGTATCATGTCAGGCTGTTGCAGAATTATCTGTTCTTGAAAGCGTCAGGTTATGGGACTCCCTACTTTCCAAGTCTATGTTGGCGGCGAGCAAGTTGGATCCACAACAGGCAAGTTGAGGGTTTCGGGTTTTGGGTCTAGGACTGCAAGAGCGCGCTTCATCGGATGTGGGGGCCTAAACAGCTCGATGCCACGTTATCACATTATATGTGTAGAATCAGTGGAAAGGGACGTGGACTGGAACATGTACTGGAAACTGGCGGTATATAAGGGTTTGTAGGAACAATTACCAAATCATGGTTCTCGACTCCTTGCGTAAGCATGGTATAGGTTACCTCAAGTTGACCTAGCATGATACTTGTAATTATTTGGTAGTTTCCCAAAATAAGGGGACCCCAATATAGACCCCAATATACTATAATCCTTATTATGGGGACCCCCTAAAAGGGTACCCCTAATTTGAGGACACCCCCATTTAGGCCTCTACATGAGCTGCATGCGGCTAGACACCCCGACTTTCATCCATTGGAACGTCGAGCAGGCTGCCCCTTAGAAGATATGTTTACATTGAGTCCAATAAGGAATGTCAAGAAAATGACACCCCTGAAGTAGATCTCTGAGGATCCAAGTATATAAATAATAACTACATTGGGCCCTGAAGTCTGCAAATATTACCTACATTGGGCTATTTGGATCCCTAGGGGATAGATTTTGAGGTATATGGTGATCTTCTCATGGTTCTAGGGGCTTCCATATTCTATCTGCTATAGGGGGACTACAGCTCCATCGGTATTCCAAAGAGGAACCTGTTGTAGGGGACAGACGGCCCGTGGGACCTAGGGAAGGTAAGATCTACATGGGGGGTTGATGCCAAGTGCCTTTGCGGCAAGTAATGAGGATCCTGGCTATAAGGAAGACTGTTTGGGAAACGATTTTCCATAAATGCAATTTCGGAGTAATTTTGGGAACAGGAATTATTGATCAACTGCCAATACCACCACATGTTCATCACGCTCTGGCGGCCTGCGCCAGGTGCCGACGAAGCAAAGCTGGCAACGCTCATCAGTCGCCTGGCGAGTGTAGTAGGAGTCAGATAGGGTGGCTTATGACCCGATAAACCCCAAACCTTAATGCTATTTGGGTGTCTACTTTGGGCCCTCTTGCTTGTGGAACCCTCATATCACTAGATCCATGCAAGGGCATCGCCGGCCTGTTCTGATGTTTTGAATTGAAAGGTCCACATCTGTTCTTCCTGAAAGGACTCCTACATGACAGTGTCCTCATTCTACCGATTCCCAACACATCCGGTTGAGAGTTCGGGGTTTGGGCAAACCCGCCGGCTTTACGCGAGAGAAGCAGCCCCACCAAAACCAATCAGGGCAGCAGGTACCCCAAACCCTAAACCCGCTCGGATTGAGAGGCGGAAAAAGGATAACAAAAAACACAACTAAATTTCAGTTGTCCTTGGGATCCGAATAGTTCCAGGGAAGGCATGGGGGCTTTTGCTTGGGAGAAATATACCCAGCAGGAGTCCCCATTTTCAGCTGTTCGTATGCAAGCCTTGGCTTCAAAGCAAAAGGGCGTAGCCTGCGGCGTAGCCATGTTGCGAGACCACCTTTAGTAGTCCACCTCATACACTACTCCCTGCTTTTTCTCCTGGCTTTAATCAATCGCAGGTGTAAGGGCCGGTGAGAAACTGTTTTTCCAAAAACGTGTCATGATGTATTGACGCCGGAAAGTTTGCACCTTGCAAGCGCGGCAGAACCACCTCACCCACCTGCTTCTTTGCTTACACTCAAGATTGGGGCCTGCAAGGACGCTCCTGAAATTCTAGCAGCATCAGACACGAAGAGCCACCAAAGAGAAAGCCCCCCATGTCTGGCACATGCTCGTGCCAAGTTCTTGCTTATTTATCCTCAGGCGATAACCTGGGGGCACCGTCGGCGGAGGCAAAGAAAGGCCAGTGAGCCAGCACTCGGAGTGCGAAGCATTTAGAGCCCATGTAAAAGCCATGCACAAGCTGTCAGATGGGATGTCCTCAAGAAGGATTGCTTGTAACAAGGCTTCCACCCTTCTGCTTGGATCAGTCATGGTAGAACCGAGTACGTCGATGAGATCATTGGCTTTGCGCCTGTCAAGCCACATGTTGGACTTCGCATGACTCCGCACTCACCAGTTTCACACCCGCTTTGGATTTAGGATTAGGAGTAGCAAAGACCTTCTCGCTTCTGCCGCCCAGCTTCACACAGGCTGAGCGCGCCAACGCGTAGAAATGCAGCTGTGCTGGAGTTTAATTGACTTTATGCAGCAAAGACATCTTCCATGTTTTGTGCACAAGTTGCTAATGGTGCAGATGCGCTTTTCATTCCTGTGTGTGTGTGTGCGTGTGTGAGTGCGCCTGCCTTCGCAGATCCAGATGCTTGCCCTGAAGTTCCCATTTCATGCCAGGATGAGACTGAGCTTTGACAAGCTGTCTTTCGGCTTACTGTTGGAACGCTCACTAGAGTCACTAGACATCTTGACACGTAACATAGAGCACGGCACGTAAAATAGCATTGACTCCAGGTAGCTGTTGGGCGTTATCTTCAGACCAAGCCCTTGCTTCGTCGAGCTGAACTTGCCAGTGGAGTCTCACGCGTGAATTGATATAGTCCCCTTAAGTAGATAGAATATGGCTTTGGGCACATTATAATAAGGGCCTCATATACCCCACATTCTATCTATTCAAGGGGGACTATAGTTGTCCGCGTGGGAAATCTGGGAATGCATACACTGAAGAGCCAGACCACGCTCAACACGCTTGTCACAACAAAGATAGTTTGCTACCCTGGTGTGAGCTATAATCTAAACTCGTAGTAACCCCGATAATACTCCCCTATACAATCCCTTGAAGAAGTTTAGACTACAGTTCATGTGACGACAGACGGCAAAAGGTTGCCTTTCGCAGCTATGGCCAAGGCGGGATGGGAAACTGCAAGGGGATATTCGTTAGTAGGGGGTGGGGAGGCTGCATTGTTCTCCTTGGGACTTAGCTTGGACCTTAGACCCTTAACCCTTGGGAATTCCCTTATATTCCCATTATAGGCACCTAAGGGTTAACACTTAGTAGGAGTCCTAAGCGCCACGTCGTGTTCTAAGGAATCTCCTGGGGTATATAATTTCCCCCATAGAAACGATAAAATGCCCTTATATACCTCCCTTTCGTGCCCCGGTAAGCCTTCTATGAACCTCATGTGTCCTTAAAGAGGCCTACAATATATCATAGGGGTTATCAAGGGGATACTAGGAGTTTCGACTATGGCTCATGTAAGGTACACAGCAAGCAACTCCCCGCGTGACAAGTCCCTCAACTTATCTAAGTAGTATTTTATTTGGGGATACTATGGTACCCATTATAGAGTAAGATTATATCATCCTTTTGGGGTATAGTTTTTTATACTGAATATAATCTTACTGGGTTTAACCAACAAAAAACACTACTCATCAGAATGAGGGAATTCCATAATGCTTCGCACGAGTTTGGCTTAGGCAATGCTCCGTTCGCTTGTCAAGTGCCTACTTGAACCCCAAAAGTAGGTAAAACGATAGCCCAAAAACATCTGAAAATTGCCTACAAGGCCAGTGCTCTACGTATTTATAGCAAAACCCTTACAAAGAGCACCATTATTGGGGTTCAGGTAGATCTCCAAGGGACTCTGCCAAGATCCCCGCCAAGGCAAGTGCCAGTGTCATCCCGGTAGGCACCATATAGGCATTCCTAAAACTCTCCTAAGAAGGACCCCCCTATAATCCCTAGGTATCCCTTTGACATCCCTAAGGGCCCCACATATTGAGGACCCCCATAGTCCTCTCATCTTTCCTGTGTAGTTCGTTCACACGAACTGATACGAGGCTAAAGAGAAGAAAGAGATGAACGCCCATCCCTTCCTTTTCGAGGACTCTTTCCAGGTGGGCTTGGGTTTAGGATGGTTTAGGGTTTAGGGTTTAGGCTTAGCAGATACCGTAAGATTGCGATCCTATGCTACACCCCCTCCCTGCTCCCGCTCCCCGAAATGGTCAAATTTCTTAATTGGGGCTTATTGACGTCTATCGGGGGAGGGAGTAAGGGTCGCTGTAGAATACTGTAGGAGCCCAAACAACACGGGGACAGAGCATGATCGCAAAACTGCACAACGTTTTGCAAAGGAGGGGCATGGGCAAGCATATGAACAGTTGTCTTGTGTAGAAACCCCGGACATGCGGTGGATGGCAGAAATCTTGTACCACAACCCTAAACCCTAAACTCTAAACCCTAAACTGTATGCTGTAATTCCCAGGATGAGGGTGACTTCAGGTGGTGTAAGATTTCCTCCATCAGCATCTATGCTAGGTACCCCAGTAGTACCCTTCTTGCCTCCTTCTCCATATCAAAGCTGCACCTTGGGGGTTACTGGGGAACCTAGTATGGCAGTCACTTAATTGCATCACTTACTTGCATTCGCAGGATTTTATGCGGTTTGCAGACTGGCCATTTCGATCAAGCAACCTTAAGATTTGCTGATCTCAAGCTAGTCTGTGCGCACGGCCCCGTAGCCATAAACCCTGAACTGGCCAGGGAAGAATCTGAATGAAAGCCATAAAAGCATTTCTCAATCAAAATTCAGGGGAACCCCAACATAGACCCAAAATGCTATAGTCCTTAATATAGGGACCCCCGAAAGAGTACCCCTAATTTTGGGAAACCATAGGGTTTGGCGCTTAGGGCCCAGGGTTGAAGGGATTCCATAATTCTCCCCTTGGATTTAGGGCTTAGGTTGACAGGGGGCTCCATAATCCTCTTATGATCCCCCTGTATACATACCTAGGCCCCCTACAAGCACATGTTATCCACCCTGAACCTAAACCAAAAAGCCCTAAACTAGCCTGAAAGCCATGTGCAGGTCAAGAGTCAGGGCCCAAGTCTGATGCCAGCCAGGTACTGTCCACCAGGACCCTCCTTGTACCCTTAATTGGGGATATATGGTCCCTAATCGTGGGTACTTAGGCCCTAATAGAGGGTAGGAGGAGGGTCTAGGCAGAAGCCTTCCACGTGCACAGTGCTTCAGAGTAGTGCTGTTTTGAGACCCCGTCATGACGCCCAACAGCCGGCGAAGCCTTGCATGCTTTAGGTGGACCCCTCACCCGGTAATAGTGACCATAAGGGATAGTGGTAATTATCAGGGTCCTCCTATATTCCTATTCTACCGCTATTACATTGTTGGGGGTCTACCAAATGCATGCTGCTTGCTGCTGAGACGTGGATGACTCGCGCTTCGAGCGTGCTGGGCGGATGGACTGCGAGTCTGTTTCGTACACAACGAACAACCTTGAAATTGCCAGCACCCTAGCCAGTGCACTTACATAATAGTTTCCTCCCTGAATAGGGGGACTCCAATAGACTCCAAAATACTATAGTCCCTACTACACGGACACCCAAGAAGGTACCCCTAATTTCTGGGAACCTCATTTGGTGGCAGTCTACATGGCAGGGCGGTTGTGGTGGGTAGTCTCGGTAATGCGAAGGTAGGTTGGCGCATTGGCTGAGGACATCAACCATGTCATCTACCCAGTTCAGGGTGGCGATCAGATCTACGTGGCGATAACTCGCAACGTGAGCCCTGCAGATGACCCCAGGAAGCTGAAGCGAAGCCTGCTGGTTTGGTCTTTTTGTCGGCTCTCCCCAGACCCCTGGGAGGATCTTAAAATTAGATCCCCTACATAGACCCATTATAACCCCTGTATAATCCTTACATAATTTTCCCTATAGTTCTAGAGGATCAAATTTTTAGATCCTTTTGGGGGTCTGGGTCTTTGGTTTGTTAGGTTATTCGCCCTACCCAGAGAGCGCAGAGCCCCGCTGCACTCTCCGCACCGTTGGCCGGGTGTGGGGCGCAAGGTGTGGAGCAACGAAGCTCAGCATGCTTGGGGCCAACCCAGGGGCCTTTCAGTGGATGACAGTGAGACGATGGGCTAACGTGCTCACTGGGCATGCTTGCCGCAGGCGTCCTCGCTTGCAGGTGCGAACTTCGCACTGCATGACTCGTTCTCCTGCTAACCCTGACCTGCGGCCTACCTGTCTGCCGGCCTGCAGCTAACCTGCCGATCTTGCACATGGCCCTCCTGTTGCTCAAAGGAAGCCCGGAGCAGTGGAACGCAAACTCGCGGAGGATCCAAGTTCTAAACTCAGGCTCAGGATCACACTGACTCGCAGGTGCATTGAAGGGCCGCATGTGTGTGCCATGGGCAACATTGTGCGATTAGCGACGGCCGCGGTGGAAGGCGTTAGCAGCTGAACTTGAGAGCGCGTCCGTGGCTGCACCTTGCTTGGAGGGGAGGCCATGCCATGGCCCACCACCATGGAGCCATTCTTATGGTAGGGTTTAGGGTTCAGGGTTGTGAAGGGGTACATAGGGAGCCTAGTTGCTATATAGGCCACAGAGCAAAAATTGAAAATGAAATGGAAACTGGAGTCAACTAAGGGTTTTGTTGCTATCATGGTCCTAGAGTCCCTGTATGGCCCCGAACTGACCTCAGAAAGATATTGGCAATTGCTTAGGCTCCTTTACTACTCTTTCCAAGATGTCCTGCGTGTGTATGCGAGGGATTTTCAAAATAATGGAGCTCGTTTTGGGGTTCCCTGTAATAAGTAATACATTCGAGCAAATAGGGCATCTAATGTGTGGAAAGTCCTCTATGGTACTGTATTGCAAGATTTTGTCTAGATGCTAACCGCATTATCGTCTAATGTAGGACATAGGAAGGTTTGCTCTTGGCGGTACGACGAGTTGCTTGATGAGAGTTGCTTCTTACATGGCGCTTCGGCCTTGCGACGTTGAGCATCCATCTGTGATGGCTCTTGTGCGCGGGCTTCATCGGCAATCTGCTGCTTGAGGGCATGCAGGAATCCTTCTTAGGGTTTAAGGGTTTAGGGTTTAAGTCTTCAGGACTCTGTGGAGGTTGTTGAAGTCAGCGTCGTGCCTTGCTGAAAGGCTTGTCAAAGTGTGTCATAGCTTGCGTTAGCCTTCTAGTGGTTAGTGGTATAATAGGAATACAAAGGTACAGAAAGGGACCCTAACCTAATTAGAGTTTCAGGTTTAGGGTTTAAGGTTATCGCTTGTGGTGGCTATTGCCCCCAGACCCCCAAAAGGATCTAAAAATTAGATCCCCTAGAACTATAGGGGAAATTATATAAGGATGATATAGGGGTTATAATGGGTCTATATAGGGGATCTAATTTGTAGATCCCCCCAGGGGTCTGGGTAGGTGGGGCTCAACCTAAGTCACAGCGTGCCAGCCGAGCGAGGGGCCGGTGGAATTTGCACATGTCTGAGTCTGGTGCAAGACCCCGAGCCGCCTTCCGTGTCGCGTGTAGCTTCCCAGACCCCTGGGAGGATCGAAAAAAAATAGATCCCCTATATAGATTATATAATTTCCCCTATAGTTCTAGAGGATCTAATTTTTAGATCCTTGCGGGGGTCTGGGTTCTACCTGAACCCCAAAGTATATAGAACAATAGCCTGTTGGGCCACTTTTAGGGTCTTTGGGCTATTATTTTACCTACTTTTGGGGTTCAGGTATTGCAGATGGCTTTGAGCGCATGATTGTCCGACTTGTAAGCCGGATAGCCATGCATATCTCCAAAACCCAAAACCCATGGCAGTACGGCATACGACCACGATCCCCGGCTGCTGGGACGGTCAGTGATGGACCACTTTGATTACGTCATGTACGGCAAGGCTGGGATGGGTTTAGGATTGAGGGGGCTTAGGGATATAGGGTTTAGGGATTTCCCAGGATGACGGGTACTGTTTGGGGGTCTATACGAATAAGGACTATAGTATTTTGAGGTATTATATGTGGGGTCTCCCTATTTATGGAAATTGTCATACTGGAAGTCTTGCAAGGAAAGGCCTGAATAAGTACCAATACAGCTCTCTGGGATTTTGAAGTAGAGCATATAGACTAGCCCCAAACCAACATGGGATTGGTTAGGCCACTATATTGCAGCTGCCTCATGCTGTCACCATTTGATCTTCTTCCCGTTGCAATAGCAAACGTTCTGTCTCTTCAGCCGAGGCATACATGTTAGTTTTCCGAAATAAGAGAGACCCCAATACAGACCCAAAAGTACTATAATAAAGCCTTACTATCGGGACCCCCAAAAGGGTACCGGTAATTTGGAATAAGCCCCACATCGCTGACCGTAGTTGATGGTGCCCTTGTCAGGTCTACAAGAAGGAAGTCAAGAAGGAAGAAAACCTCGCAGCGCACCTGCCACCTTTGTGGGGCTTCAGGGTTTGAGGTGTTTAGGGTTTTAGGGTTTAGGGTTTAAGGGTTTAGGGTTTAAGGGTTTGGGGAAACGAGGAGCAAGGTAGTTGAGACATCCATTGACAGCCCTATTTGCATCAGCTACTTCCGTTGATGTGTATTGTGGGGAGCAGGTTGTCTTGAAATCACAGGTTTCTTTGGCCCTTTTCTTGACTGGAAGGGAATAGGATTCGTGCAGGAGCCCCCGTCATAAGACGTAAAGTAGAAGTCGGAATGTTTCCGCATCATTCAATTCTTTTGTAGTCCTTATCGAACTAGAGCGTCAAAGAGCCCCCTACGCTGCAATCCACTCGTAACTTTTCCACAATCTCAGTTTCCTTCCATGTTCCATGCTCTTGCTCCGTTATTCTCGAAAACCCCAAATCCCAAACCCTAATTCCTAAACAATCCTGAATCCTCATGACAAAGCCCTTAACCCTAAAGATCCGACCTGTAACCCCAATTGCCCAAATTACCCACAACTTTATGGGTTGTACCTATTCATTAAGTATTACTCACGTGTAGGTAATTGGCGTCGCGGTAAATCCTCAGCCCAAAAGGCAAAACGCTAAACCCTGAATCGTAGTTTCCACTTCTTCCATACTCCCTATGAAGATTCATCAAGATTCTAACCCGAAGCCCCGGCAACCCGTTGGCAGACCGTGTGGGCATCATACGGTGGCCTTCTGATGAAGCCCTGTGCTTGGTGAGCCCGTGGTGTAGGGTTTAGGGGTTTAGGGCGTAGGGATTTACTTTTTGGGGTTCTGAGTGGGCTAAGGGCTGATTTTGCGTCAGCAAAGCATCGCTTCTATCACACTTATGGGTGGTTGTCAAAATTATGGTCCCTTTTTGGGTACCCTAAATATAAGGGGCCGTATTATAACAGGGACCCAAAAAGGGACCATAATTTTGACAACCACCCTTATAGCTTCTTTTCAGCATCTCTTTCGCCATGAAATGGGTTTCTGCAGCTAGATGGTATTTGCACTCAAGTTACTCAGTTGGACAGCATGTCAGGTCATTTTCGTGTATGTCTGTAGGAACACCGATTATGAAGCTCTTGTGACGAGTGCTAGGTTTTATAGCAGGAACGATCGTACTGATCGTGTTTTCTACAGTTGATGGCCAAAATCCTGTATGATCCTGAGTATACTACAGTGGCATAATCATGTGTCTCCCATAGCCAAAGCGTGGGCATTTCCTGGTCCAATGTTGAATCTAACATGTAATGCGCATCATATTAGGTCCCCATAGAGGACATAAAATGACGCTTTGAAATGGATCTCTCAGCCTAGGGTTCTGCGGAGTTTCGTCCATTAAAAGTATGAGGCTTCGTGCAGAAGCGGCTCAGCTAGCGGTGCGCCCGTCCTGTTTGTCGGGTGACGTGGGGATTTCTCAATATGGGCATTTCTAGGGATCTAATTAGCTCTTACTTGCGGTCGCAAACCATGCTTGTTGTGTAATTGAGTCTGCTTGAGCATCCAAATCTTGCTCGATGCGCGATCCAGACTCTTTCCTGCACAAGCAGATGTCGCAGCAAATTGCCCGGTCCATGCAGCTACATAATATCTACCTCGACCCGAAAGTACTTACATGGGAACTTCTTGGACCCTAGCTGTATGCTATATACCATGGGCCCTTTGGCTTGTAGTGTCTGCTGTTAAGCTGCTCCAATGTCAGTAACTTCAACACGTATAGGCCAACTTGACTCCACTATCGCCAGGACTTCCATCTAAACGACAGCATCTACTTCATGATGCGCAAGGTTGCATCGGAAGACATGGATGAGTCGTAGTTGCTTAGTCGTCACCGCAGAGTCTCTGAATTGCTCCATGGAGACTAGACCTGGTAAACAACGACTCTGAGGCGGTGTCCTGCAGAACCCACATGGGGGTTTCCAAGACTTAAGAGTCATTTTTTGGGCTCCCATTATAAGGACTACAGTATTCTTGGGTTTATGTTTAGGGCCCCCTGTTGATGGAGGGAATCTTGCACCACCTAGGGCCTTACCTAAACTGCCGTAATTTCTGGGATTTTAGGAACTTAACGTAACTTGGTGCAAGATGTCGTTCATCCACTGCATTTCTGGAAACCCCCATATGTTAGAGCCATGGAGCTACAGCAGTCCCATGAAGAGAGGGATCTATTACAGGATCCCGCCCTTGTATGAGCCACACGCCGCTTGGAGAAATGGCACCGTGATACGTTTCCCAAAATTAGGGGTAGACTTTTTGGGGGTCAGTATATTATGAGGATTATAGTATTTAGGGGTCTATATTGGGGTCCCCCAGAGAAACTGCCACGTCATGATGTGTGCCTGCCTGCCACCACTTGGGGGTTCTCAGAATAGGGGTACCAGCGACTCCAGGGAAATAGGGATTATACGGAGGCTCTTGGGGCCCTTATTAGGGACTGCATGGGGACTATGTTGATGGACTCCCACCTGCATTTGGGTGCCAATGCTTCCCAGATTTAGGGTTTGAGGGTTTAGGGTTTAGGGGGCTAGGGGGCTAGGATACTCCTAATGGGCTGCTATTAAGGAACTTAATAATTCAGCTACTATAATGGGGGAACCATACTAATTGCCATGTATACCTTCTTTGGTGACTTAATTCAAGTTCCTTATCAGCAATCCAGAATATTAAGCATCCCCCCACCCCAAATACTAAATATGATCCCCAATTGACAAGGTCTCATATTGAGACTTTTCAAGATAAGGGGTGTGGGGGAGATGTTTGAATTAGTATGGCGTGATTCATGATCTGTTGAAGTCACGCGGTCAACAGGAATTTTGCAAGCAGACCACGCGGTTCGAAGCGCGAGCAATCTTTAGGACATCAGTCTTTGAGTAGTACATGCCAAAAAAGTCAGACCACCCGAGAGACAAGGCTTTCGCAAGGACTCTCAGAGTGACATCCGCGCTTACCTGAAGAAAGTTCGGATCACTCGACATGAAGCGTACTCTTTCTAGCAGCAGCGGCATTCAACTGTTGACCCATCATCATGCTGACCGACATTGAATGGCGCCCAAACTGCTGGACCCTGACAGGAAGTAGCACCATCATAGCCAACGCAGCAGTATGTAACAATCAGCTACGTCGTCTCTCCAGCAATTCCTGGCACTGTCGCATGATCCAGCGGGAGCAACGAGGCAGAGCTGTCAGGACTGGACGCCCAACACTTGAGACCGAGTGGGGGACATCAGGTCCTTTTCCAGAGGATTATAGGGAATGGAGGTAACAATATTTTAGGGGGATTATATGGTGAACTTGGGTCTGAGGAATGCAGATAGCATGCTAGTGAAGGTGAGTACCATTATTGGGGACAATATTATACCGAGACAACTTCCAGGGCATGCGTTTCCCTTCTTCCCATGCTTTGTCTTGTTGACATAATATGAGCTATAGTCTAAACTCTTTAAATGGGGGGTTTATAGGGGATTGTATAGGGGATTACTAAAGGGTTATTAAGGGGGATACTGGGAGTTTAGACTAGCTCATGAGTTCCCCAACAATTGTACTCCTATGATCTCTCTCTGATCCCCGGTAGTGGTACCTGTAGTCCCGCAAACATCCCAAATAGACATAACATCGTACTTGTTCTTGTGGACTTCATGCCTCTCGCACAACTCTACCTGTGGCATTCTGACGAAATCTTCTCAGCCATTATAAGCTCCTTTGTTTAGGGTTTAGGGTTTAGGTTTTGTATCTCCCATATATAGCGACTATGACCACTTTGAAGAAACCTAGGACCTGGGAGAATCAAACATACTGGGCTGCTGTTAAGGAAGACCATCATGGGTATATGTGCTAAAGAGTATACCGATTATGATATCTTGTATTTAGTTCTTCGCACCCCCTAAACCCTACACCCAGCATATCTTCATATCTCCGAAACCCGAAGCTGCGTGCAGGAGAGCTTTGACTGCCGAATAGGCGGTGGAGGCACTTGGGTGCTCAAACTTGTTATGGATTCAAGACCTGAACCCGCAATACTATGTAGAATAATGGGCTTTGGGTCTATGTTTAGGGGTTTTCGCTATCATTTTACATTCTTTCATGGGGCCAGATATCATAGATGAAGGGGAACGGCGGTATATAAGAGAACCCATGAATGTAGTCCTTCCCCCGAAATGTTGAACAACTCGCCTGCTGCCCGGGTCCTCGCTGTAAATTCCATCAACAATAAGACTGGAGGTCAACAAGCCCGTTTTTAGCTACCTGTCTGTTTCGCACGAAGGCACCTTGCGTGCTCTACTTGATGGTCAGGTGGACTTTGCAAAAAAGTCAACAAACGGGACAGCTTCCATTTTCATAAGGCTTACACGATTGTAAGTGTCAACGTGAACCCTAAACCCTAAACCCCTGAAGTAGACCTGAAAAGGACGGCCACAATGATTTGGGATGCCAGCGATGCGAATCCCATGCACCGGCGCCTTCCCGCCGAGGCTTTGCAAGACCAAATGCACGGTAAAGGTCTAAGAAATATAGGTGCTGTTGTAGGGGGTTATATGGGGAATACCGTTCTGTTATAGGGGGGGCCAGAAGAAGATAAGATGGAGGATAGCTATGGCAAAGTCTTTAGCTAGAGACCATGCTCCCCTCTTCCACCAGCCAGTTGATCCCACATTTTCGAGCCCCATGAGGTGGAACTGAAGCTGACAGTTGTAAACCACCGAAATGAGGGCCCAGGCCTACAGTGGAAGTGTTGCTAGGTGTCTCAAATTCAGGTATCAAGACTCTGGTCACGTAGTAAACATATGGTGTCCCTATAGCGATGACCCAATGCACGTTTCTCACCCGCAACTCAGGCAGGAGTTACTTAACCTTACCTTTGGTTAGCTAGGCATGAAGGAATGGATCCTTATAGCAGTCCCTATATATAACCCAGTATAGTAGTTTCCATCATCTCTTCCATTCCGTCATTCCCAGCCAACCGAATGTAAGGAACTCCTGAAAACAGGTGGTGTCACGGCGGAGGGCTGACAAGAAGCCGAAAGCAGCCGAGACGACCACGGACGAGGCTGCTTGCGACTGACATTCAGCTTGGACGATAGGCGTGGCTTTTGGGATTGTCTGCGGGGGATGAGGATCCAGGGCGTAATTTTTAGAGTTTACCTGGACCCCCAAGAGTAGGTAAAATAATGTCCCCAAATCCTTAAAAATAGCCCAAAAGGCCCTTATTCCATATACTTTTGGGAATCAGGTAAGGTTCGTTGATGTTGTTTTGGGGTTGCCCTTTCCCTGCCTGCAGTGGTTTCCCAACACCAGGGTTCATGGGCCATGCCTGTCCCAGGGGTTGGGATTGTGTTTCGGGTGTGCTGCAGATGAGCAGGTCTTGGTGGTGGTTGACTGCACATCCCGTCAAGGGGGCAAGACTTGTTAGCGTTCTCGCTAAGGTGGTGGTCGACCTGAAAACGGCGATCACCCTGAAGCCAGAGGCCAGGACCAAATGGCTTAGCAAGGCCGGAAGCTCAGTGCCCCTAAACAATATACTTATCTAGGGTTTTATAGGGTTATATAGGGCTTAGATTTAGATTGGGATAATGGGAAATAAAAATGGAAACTACTGTATTATGATCTACCCTTGCTTGGCGAGCTCAACCGTTGATGACTCATCCGGATGCAAATTCCAATCCCAATATGACCCCTATATAGACCCTATATTAACCCTATAATCCTACAGTTTCCATTTTCTTTTCCACTATTCCTATATAACCATGTGGGCAGTGCTTCTTCAAATCCCAGGCTTGTGCAATGGTGGAGCAGGGCAAGGTCAAGCCAACCGATCTTTATGACATCGTCACAAACCGCGACTTTGCTGCATGATCTGAGGGTTTGGGGTTTAGGAAAGATTAGGGTTTACCTGAACCCCAAAAGTATGTAGGATAATGGCCTTTTGGGCTATATTTAAGGGTTTTGGGCCATTGGTTTACCTACTTTTGGGGTCCAGGTAGGGTTATCCTCAACCCCAAACCAAGGATTCCCTTAGGGGATCATCGGATGAAATTGAATCGGAACGGTATAGAGCGCGGGGAGTCTTTGGTCCAAACGAACTGTACGGCCAAGTTAACAGAGAGCTGAAGCCTTTTCCGGATGCTGCGCCAATGCCCGCCAGACCATGACGCCCACCGCCCAAGCAAAAACCCTAGACCGCGGCAGTGCGTGATCTCGCCATTTAAAGCTGGCTTGCATATAATTACCATAATTATAGCAAGGAATCTAAAATCATAAAATGGGTAGTTCTCCGTGGAAGCAGCTATGTAGCCTCAGTTTCCGGTTCATATTCCATGGTCTTTGGCATTTGCTTCTCCAACGTGGGGGGGGGGGGGGGGGTAATACATCCCTAAATCCTAAACCTTAAATAGCAGTTTGCATTTTCTTCTGCATTATCCCTATATAACGGTTATATCACCAACCCCTACCCAAACCCTATATAACCAATTATGGCAGTTTCCATTTTCTTTTCCGTTATCCCTATATACCCTATATTTGCCATCATTTCCTAAACCAGCCTGGACTGCTAATGCCTGGGCTCAGCCAGGCAAGTTCTCTGGAGGCTTGTCCTGCCCTCAGCAAGGAGGACCTGAACCCCAAAAGTATGTAGAATCATGGCCTTTTTTCGTGGTTTTGGGGCTATCATTCTACCTATTTTTGGGGGTCCAGGGACGTCTCATTTGCAGCAGGAAGCAAGCACATTCAATTGCACCCACCTATATACCCTATTATACTATAGTAGTTTCCATTTTATTTTCCATTATCCCTATATAAACCCAATGTAACCCCAATATACTACATCCCAATATAACCCCATATAACCCCAATATAATGCCTATATAATCTCTATTGCACCCACCTGAGTGGCAGTTCTTTTGAAAGGCCGGACCGGGTTGGCCGCAAGTTGGCCGGCATCCTCCGAGACAGCCCCTGTCTCAAAGTGTGCACAACACCTAAGGGTCCAGGTAGCTATATAGTACCTGGACCCCAAAAGTATGTAACATAATGGCCTTTATGGCTATGATTATGGGTTTAGGGCTATTATTCTACATACTTTCGGGGTTTAGGTAAGGGTCCAGGTAGCTATATCGTATATACTTAGGGCCCAAAGGGGTTCCCGTATGTTTACTTTGCGGCCCAAATATATACTATATAGCTATGCGTGGACTCTTTGGGTAAGTGGTTGGGCTTTGAATCTGTCCGCGCTGCAGCAGAGGCTTCTCAATTTTCTCCGACAAGCAGCAGCACGACGCCTAGCTTGGTGCAACGCGTGTATTGATGCCTGATTGTAAGGACCATGATGGTGCCTACCTAGACCCCAAGAGTAGGTAAAACAATAGCCCAAAACCCTTAAACATAGCCCAAAAAGCCATTATTCTACATACTTTTGGGGTTCAGGTAGATGCGGCCCAGTTTATTGGTCCACAATCAAAGGTTCAACAGGACCACAAGAGGGAAGTTCTGACACACGAATTGCCACTCAAGCCTACACTTGCTGAGTTTTTCCCTGGGTCAAAGTAGTCTTCAAAATATTCAAACCAAGAGAAAACCATAGACTTGTGTTTCAGGAAGCCTCCCCTAAACCCTAGACCTAAAGCCCAAATAGGAACCTGGCCACTCATGACTTGCGAATGTTTGTGAGGCGGTACCTCAACTCCACCGAAAGCCCCGTCCCAGCCGGACGCCTGGGCTTACTGGCCTTGGCTATCTTGGGTTTAGGGATTAGGGTTTAGGGATTGTAGGTTTTATAGGGTTTAGGGATTAGAGGTTTTTAGGGTTTAGGGTTTAGGGATTAGGGTTTATGGTTATTCGTTGCCTGGAGGAGGTGCTCTTTCAGGGAGTGTATATGGCTGATATGGAACCATGCGCAGAGGATGGGCGATTCTGAAAAAAGATTGGTATAATGCCAAATGGTTTGATACATCCACCTGGGTATGCATCCGCAGGGCACACCAATCTGCAAGTAGCCCACAACAGTTGTTCGACCCTCCATCCTAAATTAAGACGGACATGCAAAGTTACTTCATAATCCCCTTCCCCACAGAATCCCAGCCCATCATGATTTTTTGAAAAACTCTCTATTGGATTTGGCCCTGAGATGCACCTCGCCGCGCAAGAGGATGAGGAGGCAGAGGAGGAGGAGAAAGACGGTCTGTGGAATACCCAAAGATTAGTGGTCTTTCTTCTGAGGGTGGGTTCTTACAAAAGGAACGATTTTCTGTTCGGGGTAGTGGAACTCTGAACCCCCAGTAAACGGATGTTGGGTTGCGAGAACTTTTTGTTTTGGCAGCGTCAACTTTTGACGCCTAAGCTCAAACCCTCGACCCCAAAACCCTAAACCCTAAACCCCAGAACCCTTTGACACTCGTTGGGGCATCAGAAACAGGCAATCTGCAGCTAGCACTTCTAGGCTCAGTGCAGCTCAAAGCAGTCCGGGGTTTGAGGGTTTAGCGGTTTAGGGGTTTAGGGTTTAAGGGTTTAGGGTTTAGGGGTTTAGGGTTTAAGGGTTTAGGGTTTAAGGGTTGAGGGTTTCGGGTTTGGGGCCCTACACCCCCCCCCCCCCAGGATCATCATCAAGACATTTCACGCCTGCTCAAAAGAGGGGCACAGTATTATTGGAAGCGGGCAATCCTGAGGTATGTTGTTTGAAAGCATTTCACTTAGGCGACCAGGTGGAAAAGAGGTGACTCGAAAACAGCTTCAGCCTTAAGCCGGAAACCAACATTGGGTTTTCCCAAAGAATGCCAAAAGAATCCTTAGCCGGGATCTTCACACTTCACCCATGTATCCCCAGATTTGTATCCCTAGGGACCTCCAAGACTCCATGAATCTAATGACTCCATGAATCTAATTTCAGCATTATTGCAATTAGTGTTTATGGTTTAGGGCCCCCATGAAAATATAATATACTCATAAGTCATAAGGAGACGAAACATTACTATTATCCTTAAAACTAGTGATTGCTGTATACTTGTTATTCCTATTGCAGCTGCTACAAAGAAACTGTTACTCTAATGTACTCTTTGAAGCCCCACGTGGACAGGAGGCGCCGAGACCGAAGAAGAAGGTCCCTCGAGAGGAAGCGCCTGTGACGGTCCGGTGCTTAAAACCCCCCTTGTTGATAGTATTGTATTATGTTATATGGTAGTTTCCCAAAATAAGGGGAGCCCAATATAGACCCCCAAATACTATAATCCTTACTATTGGGACCCCCAAAATGGTACCCCTAATTATGGGAATCAGGGTTTAGGGTTTGTTGTTTAGGATTTCGGGTCTTGGGTTGGATTACTGGTATAACACAGCATTACAAGGCATAGGAATTGCAGTAAGACTGGAGCATGCTAGAGTCATGATGGAATAGAAGTAGAATTATGTAGAATGATGGAAGGCGCGCTGTATCAACATGAATTACGAGGTTTCTGAAAAATGTTGATTTGAGATGGCAACCATGAGATATGCAAACATAAAAGGAACCAAGATCATTAGGCTATCTAAAGTGGGAAATGATTTCCAAACAGTGAGCACATTCATGTAACGATGCCAAAGACTAGGAGCGGTCCTTGCAATAGTCAAGCCAGTGACGAGAATTCGGCATAGTACCATGCCACTCAGTGCATGGTTTTTGGAGTGTTCGTATTGCATACGCATTCAAGATGGTTGCTCAAGACTGACAAAATGCCTGGGCATCGCAAGGACCTGTCAAGCTAGGCGATGGAGATTTTGTGAGGCAAGCGCTGGACAAAGCCAAGATGTCCTCCCTCGTACCAGACGTGGATCACAACAGTTGCTTTAATCACTTAAAGCTTACTTCTTCAACTTTAGACCGTAAACCTTCAACTAATCATTGGAACATGTAGCCCTGACGCCTCAAATCCCCATATATTTTTTGTCAAACCATAGAAAATTGATTTTTAAAGGTCCCCCCAAATCAACCCTAGAAGTCGCCATCCCTATATCCGAAAGCCTTTAGAAGCCTCAGTTTTTAAGTCCTACATGAGCTACTGTCAATGTTAGGGATATCAAGGGAACAGTAAGGGTGGACTTAGATGTCCTCTTTATCTTTATAGTTTAATATAGTCATATTCCTCAATCAGGAACCCATGTCCATTAGGGGGAATATTGATTGTAGGTCACATATAGGCCTTGCATCCTAAGCCCCGCAGCCTTCCGCAAAAGTCGCAAACGTGCCCAGGCCACAATACCAGAGATCACGCTGAAAGAGGTTGAGAAGGCACGAAAGATTGAAACCGTATGGAGGATTTAGGGTCGAGGGCCTAGGATCAACCCCAATATACCATCATTCAGGGCATCGTAATCAAGACAAAGCCATTTTAATGGGTTTTTCCATACTCATCAGGTTCAAGGTTGAGGGGGTTACATGCATATCCCATCTCCCTTCTTGATGGCTGGTTGGGGGTGCTTACTCTTGATAGCACCTACTAAAATAGGCGGAGCACGTGTTTCAGTACCTCCTGAGACCAGGTGTCAATCAAGGCCTCGTTCAGAGTGCAGAGGAAACCTGAGCTTCCCTTTGGTGTTAGTGGGAGGCGATAGCTTGCGACGACAACAACTGAGTAAGAGCATGTAAGAACACCTAAAAGCTCTACCTGACACCCAACAGTAGGTAGAATAATAGCCCAGACCCCCTGCAAAACAGCCCGAAAGGCCATGATTCTACATACTTTTGGGGTTCAGGTAATCCTTAAAAATTGGCATCCACGTTCTTGTAAGTTTGCCGAAGTGAGAGCTGCTCTCCTCAGCAACTCTAAACAATTTCGACATCGATTGAAGCCTGTAGACCCCAAACCCCAAGCTCTAAACCCTTTCGACCTTATGGCCAACAATGGACCGGTGCTTCAGCAGACGTAACAGAGTCCCTCAAAAAAAACTTTCGTAATGCATTTGCGATCGCAACGCTTGCGCTGTCATACACGGAGCTTTGGTGGGTCTGGAGCGAGAAAGTTCCATCATGACAATTCTGCAGTCTCCAGTACTTGCGCATTGTTGGGGGTTTGGTTCGTAACATCTTCTTGTGCTGATATACTTATATATATATATACACATAGGTGGCAAAACGGTTTGCGGTTTTTGATCTACTTGTCATTCGAGCTTCGAGGGAAACGGCGCATAGAGCCTGCGTTGTGCTGCGCGCGCAGCAGGACACTTTTTGCTGGTCTAAGTCATGCTTTGGAGACGTCAGACAGATATCCAGACCCTCCTGTGTAGTTCCTTTTTGGGTAGATCTACTATAATCCCTTACCAAAAAACCATAACAGACCCAAAAAGGAAATACATAGGAGCTCATGGTACAGTACTGTGGGAATGCTGTCGCAATGAGCTTGGTGTCAGCTCGCTGGATGGTGCCAACAGTTTGAAGCAGCAAAATATTAAGCAACCGTAGGCATTGGGTACTGCCACCCCCCCCAGTAACAGTCTATATTATAGTCTATATTAGGGGTCCCATTAAGGACTATATATAACCATATTATAGTTATTATCCAACTGTTACTGAGGGGGGGCAGTACCCAATGTAGGCATTATAAACACTTGAATCAGGAACTATGTTCCAAAGGACTTTTCAAGCCTTGTAGTCCCCCTCAAGTAGATAGAATATGGGGTATATGAGTATCTTATTTTATGATATACACAAAGCCATATTCTATCTACTTAAGGGTGGGTGTGAACTGGGAGCTTGGGGTTTTGCATGCTGAGTCATGAAAGTTGCTTGTGGCCAGGTCCCCAAAAAAGAAAAGCAGCTGTGGGACCCTCAGTCGGCAGTCTTACTTAGGGCTTCGACCTATGTAGCATACGAAGCTTGGGCGACACATCCAGGGTACAGTGGTACAGTAAATCCTAAACCCTAAACCCTGCACCATCCAAGGAATAATTTGGCTTCAATTCAACCTCTATTTGGCGGTGATCCGTACACGGATAGTTTATGGTCGACCACCCATTGTTCGTTAAGACAAACTGCTACGTACAACATCCCCCGAGCCTCCAACACAGTGTCAAGCTGCATCTCTCCAAATTATTCGCACAATCGGTGGAGATGTGTTTGTCTCAGTTGAGGGTTATGTTACTCGTGCTTTCAGTTTTTGGATGACCCAAACGCTTGGCATCCTGACTCTAAGAGACATTTGCGTCTCCAATGCATGGAAGCTACCACGGTTGCTAGCCAGACATGAGATTGCCTTCCCACATTGTTACTCGAGGGATCCAAATAGCCCAATGTAGGTAGTATTTGCAGACTTTAGGGCCCAATGTAGAGGTTATTTGTATACTTGGACCCCGAGGGTTAAAGTCTTGGCAAGTAGCTCTAGCTGGAGCCGTGGAGCTTAAGAGGATGGGCAGATCCCATGATTTTACTAGGGTTTAGGGTTATAGTCCTCCTTAAGTGGATAGAATATGGGATATATGGGGATCTTATTATGATACACCCAAAGTTGTATTCTATCTACTTAAGGGGGACTATAGGTCAATAGTCTGCACTTATACGGGATTTGCCTACTTTCGTATAGTAAGTATAGTTCAGGTCCCGGCCCCAATTCAATTCACGCACTGGGCTCCCATATATAGAACCTGGGCCCCGATGTCAGCTATTCTCCCACGTGTGAAACACCACTCCAGGCGAATTCGCAGATACACATCCGTCAGAACATGGGACGCAATGTGTGTATATATACATATCAATATATATATATGTGTCCATATACAGTTTAAGATACACGCAACTCTACCTAAAACAAACGCGTGACTGCATGCGCGCGTTTATAATTCCATATTCCATGTTCTGTTCATGTATGCCGTAGTAATGCTAACGGCTTACAAATCGTTTCGTTTCATCATGGCCTGCGATTGCGTGATGAAGCCCTCAATCAAAGACCCTAAGCCCCTAAACCTTAAAGCCCTACTGTAATCCTTAAACCGCTAAACATTAAGTTCTTAATCTTAATCCACTACCTGGACCCCAAAGTAGGTATAAATAATAGCCCTAAACCCTTAACTATAGCCCAAAGGGCCATTGTTTTACATACTTTTGGGGTTCAGGTAAGGAGCCTAGGTATCCCCAAATAGAAGCTACATAGACCCCATTTTAGGGTACTTGGGGGGTCTAGGTAAGCCCCAAATCCTGACTGAAGCTAGGCCACCTGGGCCGGTGGTGGAGGCTCCTAAGCCGCCACCAGTTGGGGCCTCAGCCACCTGGTTTAGGGTTTAGGGTTTCGGGCCAGAACCCTAACCCAGTAATAGTGACTAATGGAAGAGAAAATGGAAACTATCATTTAGGGTTAGCCACCTTACCTGAACCCCCAAAGTATGTAGAATAATGGCTTTTTGGGCTATGTTTAAGGGTTTTGGGCTATTATTTTACCTACTTTTGGGGTCCAGGCAAGGCATCCGGGACTGGTTCCTCGGAGGCTTGGTTTAGGGTTTAGGGTACTTGGATTCCTGGACCCCCTCCCAGGTGGGGGGTTGGATACTGGGATGCCGGTAGTTGCAAAAAGCAGTACCCTTAAGCAGGGTAGAGATAGCCTGACTTATAATTACCCATGAACATACTGGTAGTCGAAGCTACAGCTTAGGCTCGACGAATGACTCCGTCGAACCCTAAGCCCCAAACTTACCTCTGGTTAGCTAGGAATGAAAGAATGGATCCTTATAGTAGTCCCTATATAACCCCATTATAGTAGTTTTCATTTTCTTTTTCCTTCATTCGCAGCTAACCAAACACCCTCAGGGTTTCAGGGCTGCTTCATCGCCCAAAATCAAGACCAGCTTGTTTTGGGAAGGCTTACACAATCTAGACAGTACTAAGCGGATTTTTGCTTACCCCAAACCTAGAATCATATAGGGTCCCAATTTGGGGGTTAGGGTTCCCGAATCCGTCTTACACGACAACCATGGTTTAGGGGTACGGCAACCGCAGGGGCTTCTTGTCTCAAGCCAGGAGTTTACCATGTATGGTTTTGGCTTTGGAGCTGCCAGCAGAACCTCCATATATACTGCCCGCTTGAAGGGTCGGGAAGACTGTGTAAGTACGCGAGTCTCACAATTAGGGGTTGTAATTAGTACTTGTAGTTGGAGCCGGGTGTCTTTGCAATTGGATGATGCAGCCCTTGTGGTTGCGACCTCATGCAGCGCAAGTTCTTGAGAGAATTCCTGACCTAGGGAGGCCCAAAGAGCGACACCAAATCAACATCGTCTATTATCATTATTTTTCACTATTACTAGTACTATTATTACTATCAATATTAATACTATTACTTTTTGACCACTAATCCTGTTATCATTACTGTGCATTGTGAGCACGGTGCGCTTGCGACATAGCCATTTGTGTTTCATGAGACTTTGTGACTTGGCATCATCCCGCGAGATGACTCAAACACACACTGACCGTGCTAATGGGATGATGCAACCTACATTGCTATGTCTTATGAAGACCCCCAACCCTGCGATAGTGGTATAATAGGACTAGAAGAGGACCCTAATATAGTACTTTTTATGCATAATAGTCACTATTACTGGGTGGGGGGTCCACCTAAGCTATGTCCATGAACTTTCTGAGGGTCCCAGGTTTGAACGCCCTTGTCAATAGTGCCACCATTGCGTTTAGGGTTGAGGGGTTAGGGGTTTAGGGGTTTAGGGTTTAGGGGTTTATGGGTTTAGGGTTTGGGTTTAGGGTTTAGGGTTTATGGCTAACGTTCCTGCAAGTGCCCTGTTAAAGAGACGATAGGCATGCAGTCAAAGTAATACTAATGCAGGATTAACACGTTAATCATAGTTCCGTACTACAATGTTACGATCATATTATACTGCTCCAAGAAACCTCAAAGGAGCTCCCATTTATCTCGTATCTCTGTATTTTCCCTATATACTTTTTTTTCCCCTATATGATCCCTAGAGCGCCTCTTTAATCCTGATATAGCCCAAACCCTAAACCCTAAACCATAGCCGAAGACGTTTGGGGTGAGACCCTAAACCCTAAACCCCTAAACCCTAGAGGTGGAGAACCGCGAGGATGAGGCGAAGCGCCGCAAATTGGAGGAGGAGGCTTTGGGGTTTAAAGGGCTTAGGGTGAAGGGTGTGAAGAGTTTAGGGTTTAAAGGGTTTAGGGTTTTGTAGGGTTTAGGGTGTCAAGGGTTTAGGGTTTAAATGGTTTAGAGGGGTAAAGGGTTTAGGGTTAAAAGCGTTATGGTGCAGGGGTTACATATGGGTTCTATAGGAGTTATATAGAGGTCATACTCCCTAAATCTGAAGTTTTGTTCTTTAAGACGGTTTGGGATCAACGGTTTAAAGTGTATAACATTTAGGGAACGAGCCTGCATGCTTAGGGTGCGGCACTTCCGGTTTTTGAGTGTTGGGCTTGGTAAGTATGAGTCACCCAACCCTAGGGACCCAAATAGCCCAACGTAGATAATATTCGCAGACTTTAGGGCACAATGTGGGTATTATTTGTATACGGGTTCCCCTACTACCCCCCTCTATACTACCCCCCCTAGGTTCCCCCTTAATTAACCTTAATTAAGCCTAATTATCCCTAAATAGCCTTAATTAAGGGGGGAACCTGGGGGGGGGTAGTATAGAGGGGGGTAATAATTGAACCCAGAATACTTGGATCCCCAGGGCAAGTTATAGCCAAGAAATGTCGAATAGGCCCTGATCATCCAGAAGGTACATCAGCGCTGGTGTTTGGTAAAATGCCTGTCTAGATTCTGGGTGGTTGTCGGAATTATCGGCACTTGGATGCTGAGCCAAGCCAGGTGGAATCCAGGCCAGTGGGAACGGCACGCTGTCCAGCAATAATTCAACCCAGGTTTGTTCACACTGCAAAATTTCTGTCGAATGACTCGCCGAGTCGGCACAAAGTGCTTGTCACGTCAGGCTTGTAACATTTCCAGGGTTGCGTTTCCTGTTCTGCCTCTTGCCAATGCTGTTACCACTGCTACAGCTATGTAATGGTATATGATGATGATGGTGATTATACGGTGCCAGGGCAGGTGCCTGCAGCGGGGTGGCATGGTATGGTGGCGATGATGGCTGGGGGCGCGGGCGGAGGGGATGGGGTGGGGGTGGGCGGGGATGGCAGTGGCAGTGGCCCTGGCGGGCAGGGGCAGGCGGAGGCATGAACTATGAGAATGATGGTACGATCATTAGCAAGGCGTTGTGGTCAAAGGCGCTGGAAAGTCGTTTCAGGACCGAGTAAGCTTCAGCAGATAATTCCCTCGTTTATGACCGCCTCGTCATTAGACGCCCCCACCAGCGGCGATGGGAATGTGGCCAAATTATGATGCTGCTTCGGGGTTCCAACGTACTAAACCTTTGACAACGGACTATTATAGGGGGCATTCAGTGACTGATGGGCACATACCCATGCCGATATGCACACTAGTGTCTTGGGGACTTGGGAACGTGGGCTGCGTCCTCTGGATAACTGTTAAGGAGCTTAATCTAAGTTACCATATTATGGGAATGTAGTAAATAATGGGGTTTCCTTATTATGGCATACCTAAACCCTGTATACCCCTTATTGTAGTCATTCAACTTAACTTAATTTAAGTTCCTTGACAGCTGCCCAGTCCTTGCCAGGCTGACAACATCCTCGGAGCTCTTGCGGCCTGTCATGGACAGGGGCATTTAAAAGAAAAGGGGACCTGTATACTGTATTTCTCCTCAAAGTACTAGAGCTGTACTAGAGGCACCCCGAGAGAGGTCCCCATGATTTTGGAAGCCTTCACGCTGTCATCATCAAGGGGTTGGATACAATCGTTTCGAAATTTCAGGTTCATGACCACAAATAGAGGAAGTTCAGATCAGATAAGGTGGACGAGCTCCAGAACTGACGAATTTTGTTGTTCGTATGCAACGAGTCTAGACTTTGCGCGTTGAGCCGTTGCTGGCAGTTGTGGGACAAGTACACACACGATTCGGCCGACCAGCCACTAATTACTAAATTGTGTCGAGGTACCCCGAGTTCCATGTAACTAGGAAAGTAGTTGTCCAGCATAATGCGGCCATTCCGGATTGACAGCTTCACAGCAACAGCTGGACCACAGCAAAAGGAATCCGATCTGTCGAGACATACAAAATCCGCATTGTTGCACACATCTTTACTTTCCCCAGTACAGGGCTGATCAAACAACAGAAGCAACACCATGAGAATGTCTACCGCCCTGACCGTCCCTGCTGTACAATTAATCCAGAAACGTTTTTAAGCGTGAAGGCAAACTGCAGTTCTAGCAGAGTTGCACTTGGAGAGTCAGGAGGGACACTTACTAAATAGAGTAGTACCGGGGATAAACGGGGGTCGTTACAAGATCGAGGCCTGTAATGCAGAAGGCCAAATGGTTACCAGGATTGTCCCTTAACAATCCTTATATGAAGTAGGCTTGTTACTATGGAGTTTGGTGAGATCATGTAGGGATTTCTCAGAGTGTGCTTCTGGGGAGGCCTAAAAGATCAAACGAAGATGAACTCTAAACTAAGCCATCCTATCCCCTAAAACCCGTTTTGAGGTTCCGGGCTTGGCTGATGCAGCTCCACCCATCTTCTCCAAGGTCGGGGCCCCATGTTGGTAGCTCTAAATGTTAGGTGCCGTAATACGAGCTATCTGTACTGGGGGGTTGAAGGGTTTAGGGCTTAGGGGTTTTAGGGTTTAGGATTTAGGGTATGTACAATGTATTTAAATGTTGGGGTTATATATTGGGGGTAATGGAAAAGAAAATGGAAGCTACTATAGTGGGTTATATTGGGTTGAGGGCTTAGGATCATACATATATATATATATACCCCCCATAATGGAGAATCAAATGGACAAGAAAATGCAAACTACTATACTGGGGGAATGGAAAAGACAATGGAAACTACTATAATTAAGGATTTATCCCTACCTATCTTCTTAAAGGCCTGGGGAGTCTTTTTCTGAAGGGTTTAAGGGGTTTAGGTTTCAGGGTTTAGGGATTAGGTTTTGGGGGTTAAGAGTCTTGTCTCTGTGCGGGCGTCCTTGGCATATAGTAGATAAGAGTTATTGGTTTAAGTGAACCCTGCTTTTGGGGGGGGTACCTTTAGCTCTTAACCCTTGAGTTCGGCCCGCAGCCAGCAAGAGCAAAGTGATATAACCAGAGTGAGAATATAGGGACCTTATTCCGGTCACAAGTCTCCCTTCTGGTTACAGTCACTATGTCTGAGCGAAGCCCTAAAGCCTAAACTCTGCACACTAAACCCAAAACCGTACACCCCTAAATCCCTAAATCCTACAGCCTAAATCTCTAACCCTACAGCCCTAAACCCGTGACCCCTAAACCTAGCCCCTATATAACCCTAATATAAGTGTTGTTGGAGTGATGCAAGCTC